ACGTACACAAAATCAATCAAATTCAATCAAAATGAATAATAATACAATACTTATAATAAACTTACATAAATGATTTACAGAAATAAATAATACATACCTATATAAAATTATATAAAGATAAATATGCTAATATATTGTAGTAGGTACTAACGACGGAGATAGTATTTTTAAATAGTATTTTTTTACTTGACATATTCATACATTTTGTTTCACAAAAAAAGCGACTCCAATTATAAACACACACACATCAATCAAGGATGTAATTAAATTAGCTTTGAATTTAGAACACGGAATTGCGTATTTGTCTAAAAGTATATTTTGCTTCGTAATAAAAAGTTTATTTTGCTCTGCGTATAGTAATATAATCTGATAGCTTTGTTAAAAAAGGATATTTTTAATAATTAAAAAAAATTGCAACCCATACTGGAGTAAACCCTATAGATTTAAAAAAATAATTGTCACACATTTCTTTTTTTTTTCTAAGGAGGCAAACGAGTAGACGGTCCACCTGATGGAAAATAACATCCATGAACACAAGTCAACATAGTCAGAAAAAAAATCATACAGATGAATGCAGAATCTCCTTTGGGGAGGGAAGGTAGAGATTATTAGTAATGGGGTCTAACAGCCCCAATAGTGGGAATAAACCTTATCAGGTTGACATCTTAAAAACTATTGTGATTAATTCTTTGAAAATTCGTTACGATAGACTAATTGACTCGTTTCCTCAGCGTATATCGATAGCGCAAGCGGGTAGTTAATATTCTATATTCGACTATAAAAAATCCTCCTTTTAGAGGTCCAAAAAATTCGCTAAAATTTTGATACTATGTTTTAAGTAAACAAGTTTAAATCAATGGAACCCTATATAAATATATTTATCCGTAGCTTTTGAAATTGTTAACGACTAATGACGCTCCTGCCTACATATCTTTTACTTTATTACAAACCTCAAAGGTATCTTAACTCAATTATAAATTACGGAATTCCGTAACAAGGACACAGGGCAAAAGTTTTCAAGTATATCTACTCGCGTATTACGAAGGGGCATATCCATAATTCAGTCATTTAATTATGATAAACTAGTTTTTAACCGCGACTTAGTTGGTGTTACCTGGATATATATATTTTTTTATTTTTAAGGAAGGGATTGTTGGTATTGGGGACTACCAGTTCTATTGTTAGCAATGTATCCTGTGAGGTTGACCGTCACATATTTCCCACGGGAAACTATCACGACTAATTCTTATTTAATTTGTCATGATGGCACCAGTCATTGGCACCTCATTAGCGTATAACGCAGGTGATATTATCATTTTTTATTATATTATAAATTATTATATTATAAAAAAAGTAAAAAAAAATGTAAATCAATTAGGACCATTCACAAAAGGTATCAGCATAATTAAATACACTATCGGGACTCAACGCGATCAAAAATTTGCAGATAAGTAATATCTAAATACCTGTTCCTTTATTGCCGATGTTTTTCATTGCATTAAGTCTCGATACTGTATTTAAATATGTGTAAACAACGCGAAAATTTAAAATTTATTAGAAATCAGCATTTTTTTAATGAAATGAAAGTGGAATTGTTATTTTGATGCACTATCCGTATATGCTGGCGAGATATCAGTGAAGTGAATAAGTGATAATAAAGTCAGGTCGGTTGGTTTCCAGGCGGAGGTCACTTGACAGCATATTTTGCTAACGACAATCTCTTTCCCTCCTTCTATTCACTACTTTACTAATAGATGCTACCTACATACTCACACAATTATTTATTAATTACTTACATATTCTGTGGTTCCAATTTATGTAGTAACTACCGTACTTCGTACGAGTTTATGAAAAAAAAATTACAGCTCTTGTTACTCACCGATAATAAAAGCTTCTTACAGGAGAAACAATTTTTTTTTTGTTAAGTATATACTGAGTTTATTTATTACAAATAAAAAAATTACCTTTCCCCTTTAGATTAGATGATCATGTTCAGTCTTACATAATTTTTCTTATAAAATATCCGGGTTTTCTATAGCGAATTTGTTTTATCCTAATTTAAAATTTAGAACACCATTCGATATTTGAAAGCCTTCTTTGATAGTAGATGCTGGCATACAGCCAAGTAGAGTTGAGCCCACAAGCAAAACGTTAGGTACCTATCCACTATCTACTCACATCTGACATTCGCATTTGGGTCATAATAATATTTTATCTGTGGAACGCTGTTGAAACGTTTCAATGTTCGTACACGCTCTCTCGCTTGGATAAGTTGGGAATACTAATTTTTTGCTTTATTTTTTAATACATTTTCGCAGCATGCATACAGTAATATAATATTCTTCTCAATTTTATATACAATATCAAAATAAAAACATATAAAATATCTGCGTAGTTTGTATATATTTAGATGATCTTATTTAACATTTACATTTAGAATAATAAATCAAATATTATTTTAAACGCAGAATTCGCATCTAATTATAGAAAATATGATTAATTATGTTATACAGAATTCGAATGAGGAATATTAATACATGCCAAATTACATTCATCGAAAAATTTACGTCAGAGCCCTCATTATAAACAATGGCTATTTCAAGATGTTGTTAAATTTAAAGAGTAATTACAAATTCTTGTAACTTTGACAAATGATGCGATCATATGGAAGACTATGCCGCTTGATTTATTGGGAAGACCTGTTATTGTTGTTGGTCTTAGTAACTGTTGCTTTACCAACAATAACAATATAAATTTTCAACAATATCAATATAAATTATAATAAGAACCAGATAATCAATAACAGATCTCCACGTGTACCTATGGAATATAAAAATTATGAGGAATTATGTATGGTGGAATTATTATCAGAAGGAAAGATAGAAGGAAGGAGGGGAAGAGGGAGACCAATGCATAGTTACATCAGGCAGATCAAGGAAAAAGTTGGTATTGTGTCGTATCAAGAGGTGAAGAGACTCGCTGAGAATCCTAGTGAATGGCAAGAGCTCCACCGACAAGAGCACAGTTCTTAAATAGGATATATAGATAGATAGATCTGTGGTGGATTATAATTATTATCTGTGGATAACTCTATATATATATATATATATATATATATATATATATATATATATATATATATATATATATATATATATATATATATATATACGTGTTAAATATTGTTCAGATCTTACTTTGTTCTATCAACTTTACGTAATAGCGCTAAGTATTAATGATACGAATTGCAACAATTTTTTAATGTTTAATGAAAAATATACTCTCTAAAGTGAAATATTACGAGTATTTCGTATGAAATACTTCGAGAAGTGCTTTCAATAAACCAATTATAACTTTTTATTTTGTACCCTTAATACACCCTAATTGCCAACGTCTGGAACTCTCTAGAGTGTGTTCCGTCGCAGTAATTTGTGGTTTTAACCTCTTTGTAAAATTAAATTCCCTACTTTGTACAGAAAGAAATTTTTGCCTGCTATTTAGCACATGTGTAATTTTTTTTATATAACCCTTTGGGAGTTACACAGATACAATACGCAATGTTAGTGTTAAGCATACCTTATTACTAGTGGCGGGTTAAGTCGGTCTTTTTTGCTATTCGAATATTGTGGTATTCGTTAAAAAAATCGAATCTTGACTCGAGTCCTCGATCAACTTCGGAGGATTTTTCGATAGATTCTGATGATAAAAGAAGTGTTTATTAGTTTTTTACTTTTGTAATTCAGGAAAAATTAATAAATTAAAAAAAAAAACAGAGAATTGTAACTATTGGAAACCTTTATTCGAATATCGAGTATCTATCAAATATTCGAGTTACTATTCGAATCAGTCTAACTCGAGAAATCACTAGCTTACGGTAATCCCATGAACCAAATCTAATAAAAATTAACGTCCATCAGCGGTCAAGGAAAAATACATACAACAATGCATCACAAAATATTAAGATATTATGTTTATGGGAAACATAGGCTGAAGCAGTATGTGTGTGGATACTTTGCCTTCTTATAAATAAGGTAATTATGATATAAAAGGTGTTAAAGAATAGTGCAGAAAAAAGCGCGGGAAACGTTTAAAAAAGCGGGAGTGTTTTTTGATCTTCTTTAAATTAATTTTATTTTTAATTATATAAGGATTAGTCTTATTTATATATTGTGTATTAGATTGTATATATAATTGTATATTTTGTAGTAATAGTGTTTGTTGCTGTAAATATTGGTAAGTAAATTACCTATATTAACTAGACATTATGGATCCACCTATAGACCCTGGGGGGACAACCCCCAGGTGTCTGCAAATATAACTATCCCATTTAATAATAGTTTTGATATATTGGGTGAATCTAGTATGGACACAGATGGTTCTAGCGTTGCAAGTTCTAAACGTAAGCGAGTACGTGGCGAACGTCGCATTTGCAAACATTGCAATAAAAAACGAAGGAGGCACACCAAAGGTCTCGAATCTAAAATTAAAGATAGTGATTGTCAATGTATTGAGGATGAGAATCAAACTCAAGTATCAATACCAGTTGTAAATAATACCGAGTCTGTTAAACCTGCTTCTCCACCCAGTACTTTAAGCAGAACTTTGTACAATGCCAAGGATGTAGCTCCTTATGTCGTTCATGTACAAAAAAATGAAACACATCCTAATGATAACACTACATTACATCCTATTGCATTTGGTCGCTTTTTACACACTAATAAGATAAATAATATAGTGAATGGTAGCCTCAAAAGAATAGGAAGAAACCGTTTATCGCTTTCTTTCTCAAATTTTGAAAATGCAAATGCATTTTTAAATAATAGTCACTTAGAAACACATAATTTTAAGGCATTTATACCTTCTTTCCATGTAACCCGTATGGGAATTGTGAGGGGTATTCCTAAAGATTGGACAGAAGAGGAAGTAATCCAAAATATATCAGTACCTATAGGTTGTGGGAGAATTCTAAAAACCAGAAGAATTAAGAAAAAGACCATTAATGAAGGACAACCAAGTTTTATTAATACTGAAACCATTGTTATTACTTTTGATGGACAAATATTACCAAAAAGAGTATTTATGTTTTACACATCATTAACTGTAGATTTGTACATTTACCCCACTATCCAATGCTATAACTGCTGTAGGTTCGGACATGTCAAGATGCAGTGTCGTTCAAATCCTCGATGTTATAAATGCAGGCTAAATCATACAGGTGATAAATGTGAAGTAGATGAGGAAAATGTTTCTTGTATCTTGTGTAATGGTTCTCATTCAGCAATTAGTAAGAAATGTCCTGAATATGCACGTCAGAAAGCCATTAAAGAAACAATGGCCCACAGTTGTGTTTCTTATGCTGAAGCATCAAAATTTCATCCTCCCACTTCTAAACTATATTCAGATGTATTAACATCATCATCTCCGTCCAATAAATCTCATTTTCAATCTTCTTTCCTTAAAGAGAAATCATCATTACCACATATTCAATCATCATATAAAAAAACAGTTACACTTAAACCACGCTCTCCTCAAAAAGCACAACAAGGATATGATCGTTCTGCCCATGAAGCCATAGTTAAGGAATATAATATTCCTGCTCCCTCTAATGGTTGTGCATTATCATCAAATAATATTGACAATAATCAATCCATCTTTGATATTATTCTCATGCTTATTAAAGTGTTATCGCAATCGAAAATGATACAAACAACTTTACCACCGTCCAACGATGCCATTTACAATGTATTTTCTCAATTATTAACTTCTCACAATGGATTACAAAGTCCTAATAATTCAGTGGAACTGTCGTAGCATAACAAACAAGAAATCAGACTTATTTTATTTAATTAATAAATATAATCCTTTTATAATAGCTCTCCAAGAGACTTGGTTAAAGCCAGGATATCCTTTTAGGATTTCAGGCTTTACAAGTCTCCGTGATGATAGAGCTGACGGATATGGCGGTGTTGCCATATTGGTCAAAAACTCCCTTCCTTTTTCTTCTTTTTCGCTTCCTGTATATAGCGGCATTAATGCAGCTGCTATAATTATAAATGGTATCTGTTTTGTTACTTTATATATTCCTGATCCTACATGCCAAATATATTCACAACTAGAACAATTATTTTCAATTTTACCTAAACCTTTTCTCGTAATGGGCGATTTTAATGCTCAGCACCAATCGTGGGGCAGTTCTACTTCTAATTTTTATGGTGGAAAACTCCTGACGATAATTGACACTTACAACTTATGTATTATTAACTCAGATGTACCAACACGTAGAACTGCACCAAATGAAGGGTTTAGTGCTCCTGACATTTCAATATGTTCTTCTGATTTAGCTTCTTCACTGTCGTGGTATCCTCATTCCTCTACCTTCGGAAGCGATCACTTTCCCCTCATTCTTTCTTTTCCAATTTCCATTCCCTCAAGTCGAAAGAGTGGTCCTCGGCTTAAATATAATTTATCAAATGTAGACTGGAATATTTACAAACAATATTTAGATAATAAAATATCGGAGTTACCTATTGTTTACCATGGAAATGAACATCAATGTTGTAATGACTTGATGATAAATATGAAGGAGGTTGCTGATTTATTATTTCCTGTTAAAAATAGTGCTTCAGGGAAAATTCCCTCCCCACCTTGGTGGGACAAAGATTGTACGGAAGCAATTAAAAATCGTAAAGAGGCTGAAAAAAATTATAATAATTACATGACAACAGAAAATTTTGAAATTTACACCGCAGTTTCACGTTCTACTCGAAAACTACTGAAAAAAAAGAAATTAGAAGGCTGGAGAAGATTTTGTTCTTCTATCTGTCCAGAAGTTAATTCATCAGTCGTTTGGAATAATATTAAAAGATTCAGATCTGCCTTTAGTGATCATACATCACGTTCTGCACTCGATTTAACTTTAGCGAATAAATTTTTAGATCGCCTTGCTCCTAGTTATGTGCCGGAATGCCTTTACAATATTTCTCTATCCGTCTCTGACGAATTATTCGAACTTGACTCTCCTTTTACTCTAGTAGAACTTAAAGGTGTTCTAGCTTCTATTAAAGACTCTGCACCGGGAGAAGACGGTATACCGTATTCCTTTTTTAAAAATGCTAGCGATGCGACATTAATTTACTTTTTAAATATAATTAATTCCATAATTATTTCGGGAAATATACCTACTTCATGGAAGTCTCAGATAATTATACCATTTCTAAAGCCTCATAAACCACCTTCTGAACCATCATCATACCGTCCTGTTGCACTTTCCTCTGTCTTACTAAAGCTAGCTGAACATTTAGTGAAAAACCGTCTAGAATGGTTTTTAGAAAGTAATAACTTACTATCCCCGAACCAGTTTGGTTTTAGGAAAGGTAAGAGCACCTTAGATAATGTGAGCATTCTTATTTCAGATATTCATATAGCTTTCTCACAAAATTTGTCAATCCTCTCAGCCTTTTTAGATATAAATTCTGCCTATGATAATGTAATAATTTCTATTTTAAAAACTAAATTACAAGCTCTAAATGTACCGGTAATGCTTTCTAATTTCATTATTAATATTTTATCAGAAAGAACAATACATATGGATTTAGATGAAGATACCAAATTATCTAGAACTGTATGGAAAGGCCTTCCACAAGGATCTGTTCTTAGTCCAATCTTATTTAACATATACACATACGATCTAGAATTATTCCTTGATAAATCCGTCAAAATTTTACAATATGCTGATGATCTTTTATTATATTTTATTGCGAAGTCCATAGAATCTGCTTCTGCCAAATTATCTGATTCATTAGATTTGTTAAAAACGTGGTTAGATGCAAATGGTCTTAATCTTTCTGTAACCAAGAGTAGTGTAGTTTTGTTTTCAAGAATGAGATCACCGCAACAAATTAAGGTGCTTTATGATAACTCATACATTCCTATAAAGACTGAAATTAAATTTTTAGGTATTGTGCTAGATAATAAATTAACAGGTCTGTCCCACTGTAATTATATTTCCACGAAATGTGAGCGTAACCTCAACATTCTTAGGTGCCTTGCTGGAGTTTGGTGGGGAGCACATCCCGTTTCACTAAAACTTGCTTATAATGGTCTTATAAGGAGTGTCATTGATTATGGAACTTTTTTGTTAGCTCCAGGAAGTTCATTTGCTTTTAAGAAATTGGATTTAATTCAATCAAAGGCCTTGAGGATTATCTCTGGAGCAATGAAATCAAGTCCAATCAATGCTTTACAGCTCGAAGTCGGTGATCCACCTTTGGTTTTAAGAAGGCAATATCTATCTGATCGCTTCTTTTTTCGTTGTTTACAATTATCTGATCATCCGCTTATTCAAAAGTTATCTCAACTACATATCTTTATTTCGTCTTCATCTTATTGGAAACATAAAAAACCTTCATGTTTAATACAAAGTTATGAAAAATATAAATCCATAGAATCTCCCACTTTTACATCGTCCTGTTTTCCCATTTATAAATGCTCATATCAATCTTTAGTTTTATCTCCTAATATTAAATATGATTTTGGGTTATCAAAAAATGATTCAGAATTGAATGCCAAATTTATGTTTATAACTGACATTGAATGGAATGAATGGCACTACATCTTTACTGATGCATCAAAACCAGACAATAGCGGTTGTGTTGGTGTGGGTGTGTTTCATTCACAATTTAATATCGTTCAAAAAATTAAACTTCCACCGGAGTCTTCAGTTTTTACCGGGGAATGTTATGGTATTTTAAAAGCTGTAGAATATATACTTTTAATGAAATTACATAAGGCAATAGTTTTCACTGACTCTATGAGCTCTTTGCAAGCTCTAGCCAAATATCCGTTTAAATCAAAACCAGTTTATCCCATTATTTGTGATATAAGACAAGGTCTTTATCTTTGCATGTTGAGAGGGTATTCCGTTTCTTTTGCCTGGTTACCAGGACACAGTGGTATTAGCGGCAATGACAAAGCTGACCTTATTGCAAGAGAGGCTGTAACTTGTGGTGATATGTATCCGTATCATAATTACTGTAGTGACCTGGCTTGTCTCCCAAAAATATATTTAAGGTATGCCTGGAAGGAATATTGGGAAAAAACAAGTACAATAAAAGGAAGATTTTATCGCCTTATACAACCCGATATTCCTTTCAAACCATGGTTTTGTAAATTAAAGCTTGGAAAGACCGCAACAACTATTATAACTCGTATGCGTCTAGGTCACGTATGCACACCTTCTCATTTATACAAGCTTGGTATTGTACAAAGTTCGTCGTGTAATTGCGGTGCTGAAGTGGCGGACTTGAATCATATATTCTTCTCATGTTCTAAATTTGACCACACCTCCTTTTTAATCATCTCCGATCCATCCGTGTTCCATTCCCAACTTCTATTCTTACTCTACTTTCTTCCAATGATCCTATTATCTATAAAATACTATCTTCATATATATATGATAGCAATATTAAGATTTAGTTATATTACATGAATACATTTATAGTTGCATCAATTGCTTTTCCTATATATTTATAAGTATATTCATATGTACAAGTATATCCTTCATATCCTATAAATATCCTAGACCTAATCCTTATCCTTTCTAAATTCGTTTGTGTTAGGTATTTTTATTACTATTATCGTTTCCCCGTTTTGTTCTTGGCAAAATACCCTAATATCGGGGTGAAAGCCACAAAAAAAGAAAAAAAAAAAAAAAAAAAAAAAAAAAAAAAAAAAAAAAAAAAAAAAAATAGTGCACAGTTATGCACTTGACTTAGGTCCGTGCATATTTATAAAATCGATTTTAAGCCAAGATAAACTAAATGTAAAATTTTAATAATCATTACCGAGTACAATCTGCTAAGTCTAAGGAAGTTCTGTTGGAATTCTACGAAGAATTTAAAGTATTTGAGCTATAAATTGATGTCGTAATTGTACATTAATATCTCTCTCTTGGACATTTTTTTTATGCAACTTAGAATAGCAAACAAGCTGACGATTCACCTGATGGAAAGTAGTAACCGTCGCCTATAGACATGAGCAGTACCATGGACATAACAGAGCATACTGTTTCGCCTGTGATACCCCCCATGCGTTGCCATTTCTGAGGACTTAGGTGTTATTCCTATGCACCCTGTAAATTCACTGCCATATTCCCACCCTTCAAACCGAAACACAGCCATGCAAATAACTGCTGTTACGGTAGAAACACAAATGAGACAGAGGTTGGGCACCTTTGTCCCATTCACAAACTTCTTTAGTTATTGTTATCATATTCTCTGCAATAGGTCAGGTTGTTATGATGATAAAAATCATCATTATATCAGCCATTATCTGTCCGCTGCTGAACATAGACCTCCTGAACAGTCCTAAGCCACCTGCATCCACTGACTTCCTGAAATGCATTTGAGGTAGTCATTTTATCTAGTGGGTGTCGTCCTATATTGCGTTTGCCCTTACGGGAATGTCACTCAAGAATTTTTCTTCCCCATTGGTTGTCGATTCTTCCAGTTATATGACCAGCCCATTGTTTTTTTCTCTTGTTTATCCTTCGGGCTATTTCGGTCAATTTGGTCCTTTAGCGGATGTCTTCATTTCGGATTCTATCATGCAAAGCCCTCTATGGAGAGAGCTGTGCTCAGAGAGCTATGGAGCTCATTATATGTAAAATTACATATAATTAGTAACAGCAATAATAACTATTTATTCCTTAGTAACTTTCATTTTGGACAACCTAAATATTGATTACCTAGTTATAGTTTCCCAAATCGTTCGAGTATCTATTGTAGAGCAAACGATAGTACAGTACAATGAAATTGGTAACAAGCACTATAAAGGCCTATGTAGACGATGGACGTTTTGTACGCGAAAATTTCTTTGTTCATAAGTCGTGTACTCTTTATCGGACAAGGCGTGTGTTGTATGTAACACGCAATTTTAGATGTTTTATTATGTCGGACAGAAAATGTATGTTGAAGATTGTCTCTCATCGGATTTAAAAACCTGAGAAGACGAGGAAAACGTAAGGGTCTATAGTGACCAAAATTATTTTCGCATTAATGTACGGATTATTCCTAGGTAAAAGATTCTTTTACATTGCGTATTGTGTTATATTACAAGCAGTGTACACTACCCGTGCTGTACTCGTAATGTTCGATAGGTATGGGTAATATCGGTATCGCTTCAATACCTATATATTCTCTATAGTTTCTTTTAAATATTGAGGGCGTAAAAAGGTCATCGTTCAATCTGTTATCGCCGATACCAGCCCGACATTTATATTCATTTAGATGGGGCTCTTCAATTCCTTATTATATATTACATAAATAATATTTAATATATTCGTTATGTGTTAATACACAGATATTATAATTAAAATATATAGATATTGATATATATTACTCACCCTTTGTTTGAAGTGACGTAATTACGAGAATGCATCTTTTATAGATAGATAGATACTCTTTATTGTTTCCTCCAAAAGAATACAATAGTAAACTTATTATAAATATAAATAATTACAAGAAATAATCACAATGAGAAAACAATGGGCGACCTTATCGCTAAGAGCGATCTCTTCCAGGCAATCTTTGGATGGAGAGGAGTAATTATAAACAGTTTGGTGGGAGGCACGATGAAAAATTATTTATTATTACTTTTATTACAGTATTTCATCTCAATATACATATAATCATTTCGATTTGATCACCTGAGATACACGTAATTTTACAAAGCTCTTATAAGTAAATAAATAAATTAATAATAAGTTACATGTATCAACAGTGAAGGTAGGTAAATTGTTAAAGCATAAAAGATAGAATGAATTAATAAATTATGTTTTCATCGTGTGTACTGTAGTGATACAAATGGGCTATAGCTTAGCGACTTATTTATTTAAAAGTAAAGTAATGATTTAATAGCTACAGCCATAAATTATAGTTACGCGAGTAACAAATCTGAAGTTTAATTGTGTGCTTCGCAAATAAAAAAAAAAAACTCAATTGCCCAGCCAAAAAGAAAAAAAAACACTTTGTTTTTGGTTTATTCGTATTAAATACATAAATAAGGGTTGGTACGTATCCGTGCATATATCGTTTTTAAGCTATTACATTACAGATGAATGTTCTCGGCAAATATCTTCCTTTAAGGTACATTTTATCAACATTAACGTCC